CGGTTAGGGTTGGAGCTTTCGTGCACATGGCATTGGTGCCGATGCAGCCGTAGGGACATGCACCAATATAGCGCGAAGTCTACCACCTACATATGCTCTTTCGTCGTGTGTGTGAGAGAGAGACGGAAGCGAGAGAGAAATTGTACAGAGAGAGGTAGATGAACAGTGGGATGAGAGAGGGCGAAGTCTAACGCACAGAAGGGTTCCCACCTGTTGCTTTATCCTCGAGATCCGCGTAGTAGGGGCTTGGGCGCCCACACACCTTGTCGACATCGGCTAGGGCCTTCTCCAACACTAAGCTGCTCCTCTCCCTCGAAAGGCCGGAGATACCTCGCGCCTGGATAGCGATCTGTAGGAGGCTGACAGGCCACGCTGAGTACGGCTTGTTCTGGTTGCGTTTGAGGGACCTCTGGGTCATGGCGGACGCCACCGACTGCTGCGGCGTTGGGGATGGAGATTTCGCCCTCGACGGTGTTTTACCCTTCTCCATCACAACAGTGAGTACCGGTGCATCAAGCGCCGTGCGCGCTGAGCTTCCGGTTGCCGCGCCGTTGTTGCTGGAAGGGTGTTGTGTATCGAAGGAGTGGTCACTACTGCTGTCGCCACCGGTACCATCATCGCCTCCGACATCATCGCTGCCGGCACCAATGCCGCCGACCTCCTCGTCCCTCATGATATCAAGCAGGGTTTCCGCCATCTTCGGAGGACCTGATGACCCAGCCCCTATGGCGGCCCTCGCCGGAGGGGGAGATGGATCAGGGGTGTGTAGCGCCGACGGAATGCCAGAGATGCCTGGGAGCATTCCGCGCGCGCTCGAACCCTCGCCGGCAGCGGCGCCAAGATGGCCCTCCTTTCTGTATCTGGCTGGGGTAGCAGCCATCCGGCGACCAGTAGCCCGTCCCTTTGTGCTGTCTGCCATGGTGTCTTGGTTGTGGAGGTGTTGACGGCGAAGGTGTTGAGTATGTGTGTGTGTTGTGCTCGTTGGCACCAGGCAAGCGGCGAGATAATATTGAAAACTTGGAAGACCAGCTGCAGCACGTATAAAATGAAGATATTGGTTCCAAATATTTGGACCCAAATTTTGTACAAAATTTGTACAAAAAATTTTCATGTATAAAACGGGCCTAACATCGCTTGTTCACCCAAAAACCGATGAATCGCATTTTCTGCGCTACCTCGCACCAGGTGCTTCGTCAAAGCCGAGACGCTTCCAGAGGACATGGCGGCGGAGCTCACCAAGCAACACGGAAAGACCCGGTTCGACATCGCCGAGCCTGACCTGAAGGCTCTCACGGAGACTGTCAACACGTTGAGCACGAGCGTGAGCGACGCGCAGAAGCAGGGATCCGCCGTCGTAGATGACGAGATCGCCGAACTGCTGGCAGAACTCAACATCGAGCCTGGACAGCCGCTCGGGGGGCAAGCGGTGAGCGCAATTCAGGGATAGGCTACCATCGAGGACGATGCTGAGGTGGTAGAGGCTCTTCGGCTGGACGCGGCGGACGACATGGCGGCATTGCTAGCTGGAACGCGCATTTCTTCCGGCTACGATGAGGAAGATGAAACGGAAGATGGCGGAGGGGGGGGAAACACGGGGCGCGAGCGCCGTGCTCCACCGGCTTATAGTGAGCTGTCACCTCACTTCGGCGTCCTGGAATCGGCAGCAGATGAGAGTGGCAATGGAGACGCGGCGTTCCATCTGCAGAAAGCAAAAATGGCGATGATCGCAGCGCATGCCGCTAAGCGGGTGCGCCAGGCAGACATGAGAGAGTTTGTCGAGACGTAGTGAAGGCGGCGGGTGTACGTGGTTGTTTTTTTTTCCTTGCAGTCAGCTTCCTATGCGCCTTTCTCGTTTCTTTTTGTTTTTTTTCCCGCAACATCGCAGCGGGTGCGCCGGGCAGTCATAAGGGAGTTTGTCACGACGTTAGCAAGGGTGCGGGGTGCATGCTTGCTTGATTTTTCTTTGCAGTGACCTTCCTGCATGTTTTTCTCTCTTTTTTACTCGTGTTTTTATTTCTTGCAACATAGCAGCCGGTGCGGCAGGGGTCAGATAAATCGGCACGACGGAGTGAGGTTGCGCCTGGCTGGTTGTGTGTGTGTTGGTTCTTGCTAAATCGAAGCCAGGTGCGCCAGGGAGACATGAGAGTTTGATCATCACGTAATGATGGCAGGGGCCAGCAGTACATGGTTGCTCGTGTTTTTGCAGTGGGCTTTCTGTCGTATTTTTTTTATACACGCAAGTCTTTTTCTATCACCAACATCGAGGGAAGGCAGGCAACGAGGACTGAGAGTTAGCTTCGTCCACTATTAATCCACAATCTCGATCCATTTCGTACTCTGTTGGCCCCGCAAAGCGCGGACGCCACACTCACAACGTGAAGTCGAAGAGTGCCTCAATAGTGCAGAACCTGCACTATCGAGGAATATTCAAAGCCCCAATAGTGCAGAACCTGCACTATCGAGGGCACCCTTTTCAGTAGTGCAGGTGCCTGCTATAGTGCAGGTAAATTCTCACGACAGACCCCTGCACTTTATAGGGCCCACAACTGTAGTTCGAAGTTTTTTCTTGGTTCAGGGAGATTCGTGCGTCGTCCGTAACGGGGATAGTGCGGTAAGTAGTGTTAATGCGATATTTGTCGCTGTGTGGTTTTGCACGCAGAGCTGAGCGTACGCATATATTAAGTCCATGTGGTCCTCATATTTTGCTTTTCTCCTCTGCATTTGGTTGTCGCATATCGGTGGGGTAGGGGCGTTGATGCCGTTTTGCAATATGTTCACGCTACTTCTCTCGCAGCGCATGGCGTGCCTGAACACTCGTCGCGTACATGTATAGCTTCGTCTGGCGCGGGTAGGGGCTGGCGGGCTGGTATATACGTGCGTCTTGTGACATGGTTGAGAGGCATCGCCGGCATGAACATCTGCGACCGAACGCGCTATGCGATAAAGGCTGACCATTTGACTACATGCAAAGTCATCCTATGACGACTGTGCATATCGTCAAAATGGTCAGCCTCTACCAAAAAAAAGATACACTCTCGGCTCGTAGCCGATCCCAGTGGGTCGAATAGGGTGTAGTGTTCTCCGGGGACGGACCCCTTGCCACAAGATGTTGCTATAAGCCGATAATGGTGCCTTGAAGCGAACCACTGGGATTCGAACTCATGCGTAAATCCTTTATTTGGTAGAGGCTGATCATTTTGACTACATGCAGAGTCAGTCATCGGATCACTGTGCACGTAGTCAAATGGTCAGCCTTTACCGATATAAAAGGAAGGGCCTCACGGCGGCTACGGAGGACAGCAGCATCATGCACATCCAGCTCCCCTCGTACACCGCAGCAGCAGCGGCGGCCCCCGTACGGGCATGCAAATGTAAGTCAACCGGTGCCGCGCCTCATGAAGGGATCGCATGTGGTAACGAGTATGGGGGGTGGGAGCATCAGCCACAGTATCAGCAACCTTTGCCAGACTACAGCTTCCAGCAGCAGCCGTATTACCCGCCTCCGACAACGTACTACCACCAGCAGCAGCAGCCACCGCCGCAGCCTCCGCCACCGCCGTCGTTCCAGCAGCAGCCGCAGCCGCAGCAGCACTCGACCCATGCCCCGTACCATTCGCCTCCTCCCGACGCAGCCGGATTCCCTGGGCATCTTCACTTCCTCAAGACAAGTTTTGTGTCACAAGGCGAGATCTTTCCAAGTGTGGTAGCGCGTGAGAAAGGTAGTGGTTTCGCTTTGTCTGTTCAGAGTCGCCCTTCGCAGATTGGTAGAGAGCAATTTTGGGCCAACAGCGGCGCAAACAACACGTTCGGCNTGGGCATCTTCACTTCCTCAAGACAAGTTTTGTGTCACAAGGCGAGATCTTTCCAAGTGTGGTAGCGCGTGAGAAAGGTAGTGGTTTCGCTTTGTCTGTTCAGAGTCGCCCTTCGCAGATTGGTAGAAGAGAATTACGTTGGATGAAAATGGCGTGCATCTATTCAATGGCCAGCTTTCCTTTGCTTAGTCCGATGTAGGATGTTCTCTTTGGGCCACTCGCTTGCCTCCCACGTACACCGGTAGTGTTTTAACCCTCGGTCCCGATGCCCTTCCTCGTGTGTCTCCCCAAGCTCCCCCGCCTAGCTTTGGGACAGGCCTTATTGTCGCGAACCCCCCTTTCCCCCCAAACACAGGAGCGGGCACACATGCGAGTACGAGCTTCCCGTCCACCGATGGAGTCGCTGCCGGTGTTGTACCTTCGAGTTCGAGTGCGAATCCGAGCTTCCAGTCCGCCGGTGGTGCCGCTGCCGGTGTTGTACCTCCGAGTGCCAGTGCGAGTCCAAGCTTCCAGTCCGCCGGTGGAGTCGCTGCCGGTGTTGTACCTTCGTCTGCGAGTGCGACTTCGAGCGTCCCATCCACCCCGTCCGGTGTAGTGATCCCGCGTTGTGTATTCCCGCCAATCGACGTAGGTGTAGTGCCAACGATTATTGCCGACTACCAGCCTGTAATCACAGCTGCCGTAGCGCCGTCTGAGGTTGCTTTTTCNCGGTGTTGTACCTTCGTCTGCGAGTGCGACTTCGAGCGTCCCATCCACCCCGTCCGGTGTAGTGATCCCGCGTTGTGTATTCCCGCCAATCGACGTAGGTGTAGTGCCAACGATTATTGCCGACTACCAGCCTGTAATCACAGCTGCCGTAGCGCCGTCTGAGGTTGCTTTTTCCTCCGTCGTTGACCCGAGCGATTTTCGTGAAGTTGTGATCAACCCCCTCATCCCCCAGGACCATTTTCCTCTCATGGATATGAGCATGTTCCTTGATGTAGGCCTGATGAATGGAATAGACTCGTTCCCACAGGGTGATTTTTTTCCGGATGTGCTTGATGTTTGCGACTCTGCAACAACCCCCCCCCCGCGTTTGCCATGATGAGTGGTGAATTGGATTGCCTGAAGGGTTTTGTTGCTGGATGCAGTGAGCAGCAAACCGTAGCTCCCCCCTCCCTCTCGCATGCCTTGGCGATTATCACCCCCGGTGCTTCCCCGTTTTCGGTAGGAAATTCCACGCCGACCATTGACAATAATTCGTTCCATGCCTCCACCGGCCATGTAAATGAACTTTTGATGCATGAAACGGCCAAGCAGCAGGGCGTACGACTGGTGAGGGAGATGCAGCCATGTGTAGGCTGCGTGGAGGCGAAGGGCAGGCGGGCACCGGTGCCGCGGCATGGCACCCGCTCGGCGGTACCGTTCGGCAAAGTCCACATTGACCTCACGGACCCGCTCTCTGACGCGCTGGACGGCTCCCGGTACCTGATCATGTTCGTGGACATCGCATCGCGGTGGCAACGGGGGTACGGGATGCGGGCCAAGAGCGACACCCTGAAGTTCGTGCAGCGGTTCCTCGCCGGCATGAACTGCATGGGCACTCCAGGGTGTTTCCGCATGGACAACGGCGACGAGTTCGCCGGCTCCGCCTTCACCTCGTTCTGCGACGCTGCTGACATTCGGCGCGAGTACACCTCGCCCGACACCCCCAAGCAAAACACGGTGGTTGAGAGCGCCATATGGCGCGCCATGAAGGGGGGCCACGCCGCGCGCCGCCACATCCTCGCCATGGGCCACGTCGACCTCTCCTCCATCCCCAACGTCGGCGTCAACGGACATCGCCTGTGGCTCGCGTCGGCGCTGTGGGCATTCGCCTGCTTCAACCGCTCCGCGACGAAGGCCAACCTGGGCTGGATGTCGCCGTTTGAGGCGTTCTTCGGCCGGAAGCCGCCCCTCACCGTCGTCCCTTTTTTCCAGGAGGGGATGATGCGCGTGAAGCGGGCCACGAAGGCGGACGTCCAATCCGCGCGGTGCTTCTACCTGCACGGCGCCAACAACCACTCAACGTCTACCGCCGTCGTTCTGCGCGCTGACACCGGCTGCCTCGCCCTCACCAACAACGTGTGGGTCAACCGCCGGGCAGGGGCGCCGGCGCCGGTGCCGGACATCGGGGGGGTTTCTTCGGTCACCGCGGCGCCCTCGCCGGCCACCGCCGTACCACCGCTCTCCACCACCGTCTTGGTCTGTTAGCGATGATGGACAAGGACTCCCTCATCTCGTCGCTCGCCACTATTTGTTCATGACGGGTTTGCCGGCTTCTTCACGTTGCCGTCCATGTGGGCCAATCGGAGGGAGCTCGCCTNTCTACCGTCTTGGTCTGTTAGCGATGATGGACAAGGACTCCCTCATCTCGTCGCTCGCCACTATTTGTTCATGACGGGTTTGCCGGCTTCTTCACGTTGCCGTCCATGTGGGNTTCATACGATGTATCAGTATGTAAATAACGTATAATGCGACAAGCACTGTCGCTGGGACACCCACATTCTCGACGCCAGCACGAGATCCTTTACTCCTGCTTGAGCGATGAACAAAGTTCAACACAAGACGCTCACATACATGACCGCTGTTGCTTTGCTCTTGAAACCACGGCGATGAAGCTCGCTTTCGGATTTGCTCAGAATCGAGTCCCACCCTGCATCTCCATCACCTACCTCAAGGAACGTGAAGCCATTCTCGAGATATATCGGATTATGGTTTGCCATTTCATCGCCTTCTTCTTCTGCCGTGGAAAAGGGGAGCATGTCATGTTTGTGCGCGGCCCGCATGCACAAGAAAACGCGCGGCAGAATGAGCCATCGCGAGACATGATGACCGCCGTGAACTCCTTCAGCTTACAACCGACCGTGGTGATGCGATCTCCAGGGTTGTCTGTTGACATCCGGGCCTACCCATTCACCCACTCTTGTCTTGTGCCTGACGTTGTTGTGACCACACTGCGCAATGTCAAACGCTACGTCACGATGGGCAGTTACTGTCACGGCCGCCCTGCTCCTACTACTGCACGACTACGTTATCAGCAGCGCCCAACGATGTCCTATAGTGCCTGCACCAACCTTTGCTGTCGCACGGGTCGGGCAATGACTCTTCTCCACCTCCCTCTGCCCAGCCCGTCGAGCCATAGGCCTCCTCGTTCCCTCCGCTGACGTCCATGAAGCCAAACCCTTCATACATCTGAAGGAACACAGCGTTTGGTAGCATCGTTCTTGATATGAAGTGAACACATCCTGCCTCCGTCTACCGCACAACTGGCGTTCGAGAACCTACAGTGAAAATGAAGGGACACAAGCGTTCGACACTACCGCTCTTCATGTGAAGTGAAACGTCCTGCCCCTGTCTACCAAACAACTGGAGTTCGAGCACTGGCTTTCGAGCATCTACAGTGAAAATGAAGGGACACACGGGTTTCACACTACCGCTCTTGATATGAAGTGACCACATCCTGCCTCTGTCTACCGAACAACTGGCATTCGCGCACCCAGAATGAAAATGAAGGGACACAAGCGTTTGACACTACCGCTCTTGGTATGAAGTGACCAACCACATCCTGCCTCTGTCTACCGAACAACTGGCGTTCGAACACCCATGCTACCGAACAACTGGCGTTCGAGCACCCAGAATGAAAATGAAGGGACACAAGTGTTAGTGTTTGACACTACCGCTCTTGATATGAAGTGACGCGTCCTGCCTCTGTCTACCGCACAAATGGCGTTCGAACACCCATGCTGCCGAACAACTGGCGTTCGAGCACCCAGAATGAAAACGAAGGGACACACGTGTTTGACACTACCGCTCTTGATATGAAGTGACGCGTCCTGCCTCTGTCTACCGCACAAATGGCGTTCGAGCACCTAGCGTTAAAGTGAAGGGACAAAAGCGTTTGAAAGTACCGTCCTTGATGTGAAGTGACCACATCATGCCTCTTCTACCGCAGAACTGCGGTCGTAAAGTGAAAATAACGAGATACAAGCGTCTGGCAGAACCGTCGCCACCCATCTCCTTCATGTTTCGCGCTGCGTTCTTGTACTTCTTCCGTTGCCACGGTTCTTCTCTTTCCGCTTCAAGAATGACAGACTTGGCGGGATCTCTGGCCTCGCCAGTGTCGCCGCTCAGGCCGTCTGAGACCTGCACGCAACGTCACGAAGCAGGGAGAATCACCGATTACGACGAGCAGTTTCCCCCAAGCTTGGTCTTGAATATGTCGGGAGCATGCGTGCAAGCAGGTGTTGCTTGTCGGGCTCACTAGCTTCACCGTTGTGCGTAGAGCTTGGGACGCCAGCAGCATCTTCAGGTCACCACCCCACCACCGAGGCTTAAAATATGTGTGAAAGGTAAACTACACGGGGTGCAGCAAGCACGTTCTGGACGTTACTTTGGGGCACTGGGTAGTCGGCCGTGTTAGGCCGAGAGAGAGAGGTTGAGAGAGAGTTGAAGAGAGACTGGGAGAAGGAAACTTGATTGGAGAGAGACGGTGGTGGTGGTGGAGAGAGAGGGAAGCAGAAGAAGTGCGCAGCACGCACGCAAGCCTCATCATCGCACCGACCACGCTCAAAGGGTCCCCGTGACTGCGCCGGCGGTACCCTTCAACACACGAAATTCCCAACACGTATCCCCCTGGGATCCTCACGACCAGATACTGCTGCGAGAATATCTAACGTCCCCCCTGCTCAGAAGAGGTTCTCAATGAGAACTTCGCTAACACCCGATATCTCAACCAAAAGACGTCTCTCACAGAATATATACCATGAAGACTTGACCAGAACAATATAAGAGAGAAAACATTTCAAACAAAATGAATGCTACATCGCGCGTAACAAATACTTGGCGCGGGAAATGAAACAAAACGGGAAACNAGAGAGACTGGGAGAAGGAAACTTGATTGGAGAGAGACGGTGGTGGTGGTGGAGAGAGAGGGAAGCAGAAGAAGTGCGCAGCACGCACGCAAGCCTCATCATCGCACCGACCACGCTCAAAGGGTCCCCGTGACTGCGCCGGCGGTACCCTTCAACACACGAAATTCCCAACACGTATCCCCCTGGGATCCTCACGACCAGATACTGCTGCGAGAATATCTAACGTCCCCCCTGCTCAGAAGAGGTTCTCAATGAGAACTTCGCTAACACCCGATATCTCAACCAAAAGACGTCTCTCACAGAATATATACCATGAAGACTTGACCAGAACAATATAAGAGAGAAAACATTTCAAACAAAATGAATGCTACATCGCGCGTAACAAATACTTGGCGCGGGAAATGAAACAAAACGGGAAACAGAACAAGACCAAAACACAACCCCTCAGAAAAACAATAACATGTTCATGCCAAATTCATCACAAAATCACGGTGAGACTCGAAAGCATCCTTCGACAAACTCTTCGTAAGAAAGTCTGCACGCTGGTACGGCGACGGCACGTGGATGACCGAAATTTCCTTCCTCTTTACCAGTTCCCTGAGAAAATGGTGCCTTACATCTATGTGCTTCGAGTTCGAGTTTGAGATGGGGTTCTGCGCTAGTTGAATCGCACCCTGGTTGTCCTCGAAGATGGGGATGCACGGCATGCCGACCTGCGGCAACATGAAACGCCAAGTCTGCCTTAAAAACAAAACCTCCTTCACTACGTNAGGCCTCCTCAACACGTCACGATCCCCCCTGATACCGCTTCGGTGGTCGAAAGCGTGACACACTTCTGCGTTCTGGAAAACCAANCAAAAACAAAACCTCCTTCACGCGACGTACTCTGCTTCGGTGGTCGAAAGCGTGACACACTTCTGCGTTCTGGAAAACCAAGACACAAGGCCTCCTCAACACGTCACGATCCCCCCTGATACCGCTTCGGTGGTCGAAAGCGTGACACACTTCTGCGTTCTGGAAAACCAAGACACGGCGCCTCCTCAACACGTCACGATCCCCCCTGATACCGACCTACGGCCTGCTGCCTTGCTTGCAAAGTCCGCATCAGCGTACCCCTGCAAGATTAATCCCTCCACCGTACCTCTCTGAAACGAAATACCAAAGTGATTCGTCCTCCTCGCATTGCCTAAAATCTCCATCGCTGCATTCCAGTGTACCAGCTTCGGAGATGCGCAACACCTAGCTACTGCCCTGCAATCGCAATGTCTGGGCTAGTCTGAGTCGCCAGCCACATCAACGATCCTACCNATTAATCCCTCCACCGTACCTCTCTGAAACGAAATACCAAAGTGATTCGTCCTCCTCGCATAGCCTAAAATCTCCATCGCTGCAATCCAGTGTACCAGCTTCGGGGATGCGCAATACCTAGCTACTGCCCTTACTGCATTCGCAATGTCTGGCCTAGTCTGAATCGCCAGCCATATCCACGATCCTACCAGCTCACGAAACGGAAAGTCTGTCNCCGCCACCTCATGCGCATCAAAATCGGAAAGCTTCACCCCCGAAGACATCGGAAGGCTCTTACCTCCCACTACTCCAAATTCTGCTGCTAGCTCACCCGTGAAAGTCTGCTGAGAAATCGTCAATCTACCGGTCTCCTTGTTCCTCTCGTAAAAGCACCCAGAATACCATCTCAACTCTCCCAGGTTCTTCACTTGCACGGACTTGTTAAGCTTGGCGCCAAATTTGTCACATCTCTCCCTCTCTGCCACAGCAAAAATGTCATCTACATGTACTAACCAAAATGAAAACAACACATTCATCCTCAATCAAACGAAACACACAAGCATCGGCCATGCACTGTTCAAAACCTAACGCCACCAAACACCTCAGCATTGCATGCCACTGCCTAGTTGCCTGTCTCAAGCCATACAGACTCTTGCCTAGTTTTACAATCATTCCAGATAGAGCTCCACATCCCTGCGGCAAACGCATGTATACGTCTTCCCCCAACTCCGAACGCACAAAAGCTTGCTCGATATCGAAAGTTCAACTCGCACGCCAAAGCAGCCAACATCCTAACACACGAAACAGAAAGGGTAGGCGCGTACAACTCTCCAAAGTCGATGCACTCTCTCTGCATATCACCTCTCGCTACAAGTCTCGACTTAACCTTAGTGGGCCATCCAAACTCATCTGCCTTCCAATCGAATACCCACTTAGCGTTAATTGCGTTCTCCACTAGTTGCTACTTCGCCGGAGTAAAAGTCCCCGCTTCCAACAAGCCATAAAACTCCCTTTGCATAGAGTCGCTCCAAAGGTGCCGGTGCTCCGACGCCATGGCCTCTTTGTAGCTCTTGGGGACACGAAGGTCGCTGGCCTGGCAATGCGGAAGGTCAGGGCGTTGCTCCGGCGGGCGCTGGTCTCGCAGCGTGGCGTCGATGTCTTCCCGGTTGGCGAGGAGCGTGGCAAATGCGAGTGGAAAGCCCGCTCCTGCAGCCCCCGGGTCCACTGCTGCGAGTGCTCCCGCCTGCTCTCCGGCCCCCGTTCCCCCCGGCTCTCCGGCCTCCGCCCCCCCCAGCTCCCTGCGCTCCTTATCCACCGCGCTCCGAGCCTCCAGCATCGACACCAGAGTGTTCCTGTCTAGCATCGAGACAAGTCCTGTGCTGTGCCTCGTGCCCGATCTCGTACGGCTTGGCAGCCGCGGGTCTGTCATACCCTCGGCCTTTGTACCCGGGCGAAGCTGCCGCATGGCGTGAGCCGTAAGCGGGGGCATCGCGGGGTCCGGCGGCGGCGGCGGCTGGTATGGATCGGGGGTCGCCGACGGTGACGGCGGAGAGGCAGAGGACGGATTGCCAGGAGCGGGGGTCGCCGACGGTGACGGCGAAGTGGCAGAGGGCGGCTGTGAAGTCGTGGGAGCGGGCGGCGGCGTGGTCGCTGGCGGCGGCGTTGCGGCAGGGGGCGAGGCAGGAGCGGGAGCGGGCGACGGCGTGGGCGCTGGCGGTGGCGGTGTGGCGGTCGAAGGCGTCGGTGCTGGGCCAAAGTTGATCGAGACGACCGGCGGCGTGAACGGGGGGGGTGTCGGCGCAGCGGTGATACCAGCGGAACCCCCCTCGCCGGCTGGCGCCGACGTCACCCACGACACGTTGTTGGTGTAGACGACGCGGCCGGTGGACGCCTTGAGGACCTTGACGGTGCCGCTCGGGTGGTTGTCGCCGCCGTTCAGGTAGTAACAGAGGGTGGCCTGGTCGTCGAGCTTGGTGCGGCGGTCCTCGCGCATGAAGCCGGGCTGGAAGAACGGCAGCACGCGGCACGGCCCCTGCTCGCCGGTGAACATCTCGTGCGGCGAGCGCCGCCCGGGGTTGGCCTTGGTCGCCGACTGGTTGAGAGCGTCGGCGGCCCACTTCGCCGATTCCATCCAAAGACGGTCACCACGCTCGTCGAGGCCGGGGATGGAGGCGAAGTCGACGTGGAACACACGGCCAGCGCTGCGGCGGGCGGCCATGCCGGCCTTCATGATGCGCCAGATGGCGCTCTCGACGACGCCGTTGTACTGCGGGACGCCAGGCGGGGTGAACTCGACGCCGATGCCGTTGTCGTCGCAGAAGCGCCGGAAATCGCCGCGGGTCCACTCGGTGCCGTTGTCGACGCGGAAACACTCGATGCGCCCGATGTCGTACCGCCCCACGTCCGCCAGCAGCCTTTTCGTTGCCGCCAGCGCGTCGGACTTCCGCCGGAGGCCGTAGACTTTGTTCCACCGCGAGGCGCTGTCCACGGCGACGAACAGGTAGAGGTTGCCGCCCAGGGAAGGCACCAGCGGTCCACACAGGTCCAGGTGAACACGCCCGAGAGGCTTGGACGCCCTCGCTCCCGGCCCCCGCGGCACCGACGCTCGCCTGCCCTTCGCCTTCATGCAGTCCGTGCACGGTTCCAGCTTGCCGGTGAGCACGATGCCTCTCTGCTGGGCAGTTTCTCTCAAAAGAGGCTCGCAAGCGTGGGCAAGGGAGCGGTGGAAGCGGTTGTGATCTCAGGATCGCGCGGAGCCAACGGCGGGGGCGGAATCGGGGGCAGTCACGAATACGGGCAAAGCCGCAGGGTCTACAATAATCGCAGATGGGTCGTACGGCAACCGCATGGCATACGATGCAGACGGTTTTTCCTCTCTAGCAAAGAGCAGCCCATTTTGTAGGGTTGCACCACGTTCGTCGTAGAGGATTGGTTGCTTCAGAGAAACAGCATGCGTTGAGAACAAGTTGAAACTCAGGCTCTCTACAACAGACACGTCAGTGAGNCTTGCAGGTCATACATGTGTAGGCTGCTGTTAGTGAAACTGTTGCTGGCTCCTGAGTCAGCTACCCATCCCTCGCTACCAGGCGGCCCCTCACTAGATTCCACGCTCACCAAAGATGAAGCAGACGCAGCAGACTCTACTCCAATCGTCACTCCTATCCTACGAAAAAATCGTCAGGGTGAGACTTGCCTAGGGGCACCGATTGTGCCGTGCAGAGGTGGAGGTAGCCCGAAGATGGAGGCGCGCCAGGAGAAGGAATAGAGGAGGAGGAGGAAGCGGTGCTGCTGCTGTTCGCGGGGGGGGGCTGACGTTGCTGCTCGAATGACGAATCTTCGCCGGCAGGAGGGTAGTACACGTAGTGGATGCCGCCGTCAGATGGACGGCTGCCTTCGTACCCTGAGGGGTAGCTGTAGCTGTCTCCACCGCCGGCGTAGTGGGCGTACCCGGCGTCGTGGTAGCCATCTTCGTAGTAGTAGCCGTCGTCGTAGTCGCCGTAGTCTTCGTAGTAGCCACCATCATCGTGGGCGTAGTCCACAACGTACGCCTGCTCTCTTCCGTGGCCAGAACGCGCGTGCCCCGGGTCTCTCTCTGCCCGTTCCCTCTCGGCACGCCCGTCGCTGCTGTGGCGTCCCGCGGGCCCACGACCCCCCGGGTGACGCCCCAGACGACCGCCAGGCCCACGTCCACGAAGAGGTCTCGGGGGGGGTGACGCTTGGCTCCAACCACCGCCACCATGACCGGTGTGGTGCTGCTGCCCCTTCTAGCCTCACACATCGGCCGCCACCGCGGCCTGGCCCCGGCGGCGGTCTGCCCCCTCGCTGGCTACCGCCGCCACCGCTGCCGCCGCTCAAGCGGCCTTCCGCGGCGCCCTCTCTCGAACGCGCGCGCCGCAGTTGCTGCTGGAGACGACACTGCTCGTTGGTGTGAAGCTCGGACTGGTGGTAGCGGCAAAACCCGCCGGGGTCGTCGTTGAACACGCCACTAATTTTCTTCTCTCCGTCAAGATTTTGGCCGCCAGCTGCTGCCTGACCGCGGTCTTGACCCCCGGATGCCCCCCCACTTCCCCCGCCGCGCCGGCCCATGAGCCACGGGCAATGTCTTTGTTGGCATCTGTTTCATCCTTAATTGTGCCTACCGGTGCGAGACGCGGGCGAAGGGCCTCTGAGCGGGCAATGTAATCCTGTGGACTCTCGGACTCTTTCATCTCCAACTCCTTCCAGTCCTGCTCCAACCTCGACTTTTCTGACTGCTTTTTCTCCTGATAGAACTCTGTCACTATTTTCCAGCCTTTTTGGGGACTCTCACACGCCAGAATCAAGCTCTGAATCGGGGGATACAAAACCTTGCTAATCAGGATATTCCACAGTTTGAATGACTTGTCTACCACTCATTCCCAAAAAGTCTCCGAAGGTCTCCTATATTCACACCCCTCTTTCCGACCTTGACCTCGACCTCCAGTTCCAACACATCATGCACACCCTCCTCCTGAAAATATGAGATCATCTTACTACGAAAAATATCAAACATAATATACAAATCCTGCTCATTCTTCACGCTACCAAGCCAAGGTTCTATTTCTGAGCCAGGATTGACACGTAACGTGCCTGAGCGGGCAAAGCCCTTTTGTTCAGCGATGGCCTCAGCTGTCCCCTTGGCCGCTTACGCCACGATGTGTGCGACGCCGCTGGGGTCGTTGAAGGTAGCTGTTTTACCCTGGCTGGAGGGTGATGGCTGGCTGCCGGTAGGTGGGACCGGGTTGCCGGCAGGTGGTGGGGCGTAGGTGACTTCACCCTCGTTTATCCTGTTGGCTTCGAGTTCGGCTTGCACTCGTTGCTGGACGATCTCCTCCACTTTTTGCTGTAGCTCTTCCCCGCTAAGGGCGGAGAGGTCGATGCCCTCCATGGTGTATGTTGTTGTGGGAGTCTACCGATTGCGCGTGACTGCACAACCCCCGGAAGGCTACGCNTTGCCGGTAGGTGGGACTGGGTTGCCGGCTGATGGTAGTTGGGCGTTGGTGACTTGACCCTCGTTGATCCTGTTGGCTTCAAGTTCGGTTTGTACTCGTTGCTGGACGATCTCCTCCACTTTTTACTGTAGCTCTTCCCCGCTAAAAGTGAAGAGGTCGATGCCCTCCATGTTTTATGTTGTTGTGGGAGTCTACCGATTGCGCGTGACTGCACAACCCCCGGAAGGCTACGCCCGCGCGCAGATACCGTGATATCGTCGCACTAGTGTGAAAGGTATACTACGCGGGGTGCAGCAAGCACGTTCTGGACGTTACGTTGGGGCACTGGGCAGTCGACCGTGTTAGGCCGAGAGAGAGAGAGGTTGAGAGAGAGTTGGAGAGAGAGTGGGAAAAGGAAACTTGATTGGAGAGAGACGGTGGTAGTGGCGGAGAGAGAGGGAAGAAGAAGAAGTGCGCAGCACGCACGCAAGCCTCATAATCGCACCGACCACGCTCAAAGGGTCCCCGTGACTGCGCCGGCGGTACCCTTCAACACACGAAATTCCCAACACGTATCCCCCTGGGATCCTCACGACCAGATACTGCTGCGAGTATATCTAACAATGTGGGACGGAAGCACGTTACATACTCGACGTCTGCGCGACCGTGCGTGCAACGCCCACGCGGTTGGCTGTGAGAGCGTAACCAAATCCCGCGTGGATGACTTCTGGGAAGTGCTTCGAGAAGTAAGACAGAATACGCCCTTCTGATACGAGCTCCTCGGTGTTCGCTGCTGCCCCCGCAAGGACCACGAGCTGCAGTTGCGACCAGTACATATCCAACCCCTATAGCGCTTCGCTGCGACCAGTACATATCCAACCCCCAAGCACTTCGCCAAAGCACGCTATTCCACCACCGTCTACCCACAAGACTACCGATCCCTCCTTGCGCATCTTGTTCGGGATAACCATGGCGGCGTGGCGACCCAAAACCTACTTGTCTTAAAGGGGGTTAATACCGGTGTAGATAGAGCAAGCAAAGCGTTGGACCAGGCCATTAAACAGGTGGGGCCAGAGCATCGAGCGGGTCGAGCAAATGCACGCGACCCGACACGCTTTCCCTGCTCTGTCGCGATTTTATGCAGAGACATATGAGTGGCGTCATAGATCGCGCGCACCTTCTGGCCATACTTTGCCACCCTGCCCAACAACTACTAGTAGTGTAGTCTACTGTTTACACCATTTTATATCATTTCTGTAGAGACCAACCACCTCCAAAGAAAGGACCATATTGAACAAAAAGTTGGCAAAACATATAATGTATCGTGCACCAGGCCAACTGACGGTCCACCTCTTCCTCCATTGGCAGAANGTAGTGTAGTCTACTGTTTACACCATTTTATATCATTTCTGTAGAGACCAACCACCTCCAAAGAAAGGACCATATTGAACAAAAAGTTGGCAAAACATATAATGTATCGTGCACCAGGCCAACTGACGGTCCACCTCTTCCTCCATTGGCAGAACGTTGGACGACAACATGCCAGCATCTCTCCACGGACGGGGAGTACGTAACACTCTCGCTCAAACATACAATACAAAGAGACGAAGGCCTTGATAGACGTCAACGTATCGCTTGAGCACCTTCGGCCAAGCCGGCTCAGCAAGTCTTCGGTTTGCTCTGAGAAGACTATACTGGCAACAAAAAAAACACGACGTTAGAATGCGTGTAGGCGCATTGATGCAGGTGTGATCAGATTNCATGCCAGCATCTCTCCACGGACGGGGAGTACGTAACACTCTCGCTCAAACATACAATACAAAGAGACGAAGGCCTTGATAGACGTCAACGTATCGCTTGAGCACCTTCGGCCAAGCCGGCTCAGCAAGTCTTCGGTTTGCTCTGAGAAGACTATACTGGCAACAAAAAAAACACGACGTTAGAATGCGTGTAGGCGCATTGATGCAGGTGTGATCAGATTTCTCGATATTGTATACCATACTTGATATGCATGTTTGTTTTTGGGGCAATCGCCTTTGCATACTCGGCGGTGATGTGCGCGTGCACTTTTTGATCGTTGTATTCTTCCTACTACTATTCAAGTAAGTAGGGTGCACATCGTTCTTAGCTGCATGCTACACAGCAGCAGTGCAATAGCTGCAATAGTGCTACAGTGCTAGCCAACAATATACTGCTTTCCAGCAGCAGCCACTGCTTTCGTGCTACACTACAGCAGTACACAGCAGTAGACTTGTAGATCTATAGGAAGCATGTTTTCGTCATGTAGTCTATTTAGAGCCACGGTATCAAGGCGCGCAGGCGCGCCAGCAGCACAACATTCCAAAAAGATACCGTCGACGGCGATTACTACTGCAGTACCAGCAATCTCACGTACCACCCATACTCCACCACCACCACAACACAGCTGCTGGTCTTCGAAGAGGAAGTCAAAGCTGTGCTGTGCTGTGCTGTAAGGCAGGACATGTGTGGGTGGAGACCAAGAAGAGACCAAAGATACAGAGAGGAGATTCAGCATGATATATATTTTTTCTCAGACGGCCGATTGGCGCGTCCTCTTCGGCTTTGGAAGTAGAAACAGTCTTCCCTATTGAATTGGCCCTCCCTTTCCGCGTCTGTCGGCCTCAGCACGTGCTTGTGGCTGTTGCTGTGGTGCCACGGAAACTGGCCAATTCTCTGGTGATTTTGTGGCACAAAATATGGCGTTTTGGTACAGGGGATGGGGTAGTTATGTCCCCTTCATTCATGTAAAAATTTGGGATGGACGTTCATGCCATTATCATCTCCCAAGAAGTTGACCCTGCTGTCTCTTTCGCGCGGCGCGTGCTGCTCTCTTAGCTAGCCTAAGCGCCGCCGGACCCCTCCTTTTCCTCAATCTTCCCCTCTTCTTGTGTTTTGTGCTATTTTCTTGCGAACACTCGGGCTAACGTGATAGTTACCCCGGTTCATCTCTTCGTCGACGCCAATATGGATGCCCTCTGCTCTGGGTGAGCGGAGAGTCCGGGGTTGTGGTGGCTATGTCCTGCCACCGGAGGTTGGCTATTTCCTTTGGTGCAATGTGGCGAGGAATGCCAAGCGTGACCGAGGGAACTCAGTCAAGCTAGGGTGGTGCGGAGAGTGGGCGAGCCTTTGTGGACTTCTTTTCCCATTTTCCTAAAGATCCATCAACTCTTCGCAGCTGTTGGGGGTCATAAGAGTTGGGGACCCTCGGAGAACAGTAATCTATTATCACTTGTTCCCTCAGATCCTACTCTTTATGTACGTGTATCTGTGCTCCCTGAATCTCCATATCCTGACCTCCACAGGTTCTTGCCTTGTTTCCCATAGAGTTGTCTTCTTGTCCCGGAGCGGTGTGGCCCTCCATCTCTGGACTCTCTCCTTTCCTCTCTCTGGGGCATACCCCCACGGCGTGCGGCCACTCCGCCACCCTCACCGTGCTCTCTGCTGCTGCATAGCCCCGGTGTCCAAGCCGGGGCGTCAGGATCCAGTCTCATTTTGCAGCTACCAAACGTGGCGGCTCAGAAGCTAATCCGATCTAACGACAGCAGTAACTCCCAACCGCCAAACTCAGGATCCCCCTCTAAACAGTGCTAGGGACCGTATATCCGTCTTAGCTGGGTGATCTTTCGAGGTGTAGATCCACTTGCGGAACCTCGGCCTACCCCAGGGACGGGGGGGGCAGGCCGGGGAGGAGAGAGAGAGATACGCTGTACGTTAACCTGTTGGCCGCATCCTTTTTCGCCGTAAGATCACCGAAACAGGGCTTCACAGTTTCTCCCAAATACTGAAAGTTTTCACCCCAAACCCCTACCGTAGCATGCATCAGTCAGTCATTATGACTCAATGCAGCGACAAGAAACAGAACTATTTGAACTATTTTGTACCACCAGCACACCCTCTCCCACGAAACGTGGTTGTTTTTTCCCGCTCTGGTATGCATGCCTACATCAAAACGTGCAGTAGCTTTCCGGTGTCACGCACACACGTCGAGTTCGGCGATCACACGAACGAAGCTGGGCCTCTGACACGTACTGCAAATGAACGCATGTTGTAGACTTGATTGCAGCACATAGTACCTCTGTGATATTTGTGAATGCGGCCTAAAATATGCTCCAGGTGCCAACTGAGAACAGTAATCTGAAGTGCTTGTCCAGCGATACGTTGTACGTCTCTTTGGGATGTCATTTCTGTACATGCCCATTCAGTTTGAACATGGCAGGACGTGATATAGAGTGACACTATAATAGGTGGTTTCCAAGCACCGGGGCCATTGACTTCATTCCCACCGCTACTTGACTTTCCCAGCATGCTCTACCGAGGAATGGTCGAAATGTCGCGAAACTTGCGCCGTAGGTCGAGATCGGTTCTTGAGAACAGAGCCAGTCAGGGCGAGGACGGGGGTATCGGGATGACGTGGGAACACTGGGAAAAACATGAAGTTCCGCTGATGAGACTGAAGGTTACAGTTTGAAATGAGACTGAAGCTTGGAGCTTCAGAAATCTGCAACGTCTTTCCCTAGGCTTTCCGCTACACACACCACTCCTTTCTCTCACCGTCGTCGCCGCCACCATCGCATGTCTTCGGTTTCACCGACAAGGTGGTCAATAACGGGTGGCATCGCACCCCCATCGCCGTAGTTTCATCATCGTTGAGACCCATGGATGTGAGAATCATAATCGGTACGCATCTTAGCAGCGGTTGCTGCAAAAACAAAGCCAGCCAGCTCCCTTGATTAGCCGTGCAGGCTTGAGTACTGCTGTGTTGTGCGGGCATCCATGCAGACAGTTACATCGACACACGGTCTTCTTGGGACCTCGCAGGGGCGCGGCCCCTGCGGACAACAGTCTTCATAAAGCAGGCTTGACGAGCGCTGGTTCTCCTTCTTCCACCCTCTGTACGAAGCCAGACAAAGCCGCGCACACGTCGGCCGCTACCTCATGGTGAGGGCTGCGTGGAACGGGTGCAAAGCGCGGGAGACGCGGGGGTTACACCAACCCGAAAAAAACAACAACGACGAGCAAGAAATACAAGCGGTAGGGGCGTGGAAAGACACACGTGGACAAAGCTGAAGCACGGTCTACATAGATCAACCAACAGGTGGTACGATAAGAGGAGGCGACCCTGCTTGTTGGCGCGTGCGTGCGGCGACTAGCTCGACTCGAGAGTGAATCGGAAAACCACGTCACCAAGAGTAAATAGCCGCGGCCAAGGACGGGCCGGGAATGCACCACCTGCTGCCTCCTGTCCCACAACGCAGGAACCTAGACGTCCGTGCCCCAACAACCACCAACTTCCGTTATCATGCGGCAGCAACACGGTGCTCTCACCAGTGACCCCCGTCCAAGCGAACCACCGACACCTGAGGGCCGAGAGCTTCGAACAGCGTCGCTCGCCCGCCCGCGTCGTTTAGGGGATCCTTCACGCCCTGGGTGACTAATACTGGACCCTGCGTTTAGTTGTGCGTGTGTTGTGGACCACATGCTTGGACGTGTGATGGCGGCATCGATCGAGTAGTTGTCAGTACACCCGGTGCGAGTCACATGTACCCCGCCCACCGCTCTGGTTCCATCCTGGCCGAAACCCCATCGTATGAACTACAGGCGCCCGCCACGACCACCACACTGGGGCAAGGCCGGCCCGGCTCACAAGCAACAACAGCATGAGCATGAGCACTAGTATCGACGGCAGGTTCTCGTTCTGCGAGCTGAAGCAATTTACGGGCGTTCGGGTCTCGTGAGGCTGTGGCAGACAAGAGGTCTTCCGCCCCCCCGCCTGAACCTTCAAGATTATTGATGCGTGTGTGCATTTCTCCGGCTGTGCGAAGTGCCGAAAGAATTGGATCAGCTCGGTATCAGTTTCGTCTACCCGAGCTTGCGTTTGACGATCACACGACCCTCTCATTTATTTTTGGCCGTGAAGAAGCAACCATGCACAGGTACCCCTCCGCCCTGCAGTCAACACTGCCTAGTAGACACACCGAGCAACCTCTTCAACGGCAGTTCGCGACAAACACAACAATAAAGAATACCGCTATGAAAAAAAGAAACGTCCTGGAACCCGCCCATGCTCACCCCGAACTTCCCCAGCATCTCATTGGCCGAGCGCGAGAAAGGGAGCTTGCCCCCAGCGGCGATCACGCCGACAGCACCCGGATCGCACGAGTCTCGCAGGATGTTCTCCGCTAGCCCTTCGTCCACGATGCCCGGGTTCTGCGGGATGACGGGAGGCGGGAAAGGTTGCTCGTCGTCAACGAGACGCAGCTACCCGTAGTGGTCCGTGTTGCAGGGCCTAGTGATGATGCTGCCCGACATTTTACAAGCAACGCCAAAGACTGCCCACAACAGTAGGGTGCCCCGAAATGAAACAGGTTGCGGATAAGATAATGCTGTAGACACGGGCCACAGGGAGGAGCAAACGACGTCTCTGCGCGCCTCCTACAACCCCCTACCTCGCAATCCCCTAACCCGCATCTCTTCTACGCACACGCGCGCTTCATTGGCCGTAAAGGGTGGAAGACATTTGTTCCTGCTGTTGTCTTAACAAAAAAAACGTTCCGGTCTCTGCTCAGTACCTTTCATCAATCCGGAACGCGGGCACCTTACGTGATCAGTCGCAGGCCAACCACCCGAAAAAGGGTACACACATGGCAAAGACAAGAGTAGGTGTAAAGGCCCTAGAACAGCATCACAACAAACCGTGGTATGATCAAGACGCCATGACAAAAATACACACACACGCCGAAGAGAGACACACTCACGACCGGATAGACGTTGCGGCACGTCTCCGCGATGCGGCCCTGCAAGAAGGCGAACAGCCCGGCCCCCAGCACGGCGAGGGCCGCGTTGGGAGGGGCGGAGTAGGCCTCCAGCCTCCCCCTGCGGGTGGCCTCCTCGACGCTTAACCCCCCGTACTTCACGGTGGCTTCCGTTTGGAACTCCTCGTCGTCTAGTATTCTTCCTGCGGGGGGAATAAATAGAAAGAGGCGTTTTTGAGAGAAAGGCAGGGGTTGTCGAAGGCGCGGAAGGTTCTCTTGGGTGGTGATTTTGGATGCTTTGTGTCGATGCGGCGTGTTGTTGCTGTCGTGGTGGTGGGTGAACGGAAGGGCGCACGGTAGCCCATGAAACGTACCACGGGACATGATGTCGACTCGCGGTGTGCTAGAGACACTTCCCGACGGGGTCTCCCGAAACGTCCATCGAGAGTGACAACGCCCAAAGGTCATGCACGAGGGGACGTTCGGGTGAGGGGCATCCGGTGCCAACCAAATAAACGACCGTTGTTGAATTATGGTATCTGTACAAATGTCTCCGAGGTATGGTATCTCTGTGTTGGGCGCTGGCACCAATAGATCACTCTTAGTTACATGCAAGCTGATGCAAAATTTTGACAGTATCTGTCTAGAAAAATATATACATTGCATTCGGCGAAGACAGGTAGGTCGTCCATTGCCCCTTTCGTTGAGACAGACGTACCTGCGCTGTTTACGAGCACGACGCCTCGGCAGAGCTCCTTGCAGTCTGCTGCCACCCCCATCGAGATGTACCTGAGGACAGTACACAAGACCCGCCGCGCGAAGGGACACGACCACCACAGTTTCCGAAATAAGCCAACACGTTTGGATAAAGTACAGATTCGGCCAAGTTGGGGATAGGGTTTGCGTACCCCCTGCATAATCTTTTTCGTTCTAAAATGTATTTGCTTGGGCAGTCCCGCGACCAGGAGTATGGATGTGTGCTGGATCCGAAGGTTGTGTGGAGATACCCTTCGCACAGCCTCCCCTACGTTCGCCAAGGGCAACTTTCTCTTCTCCCAGTTCAAGGAGATGTCTTTTGTTTGTGAAGCGTCATCCTCTCGAAAGACGAACCCGAAGCATCTCTCGCCAGACAACGAAAATAATGACCATGATAGTCTGATCCTGTTCGCAGCCTGGAGGACAGAGCGGGAGGTCACACATGGGACATGTGGAGACACGAGCTTTCTGGACATGCGACATGAACGAAATCCAAGGTCACCGCTCGAGGAGTCTGGTTGACTGCCAGTTTATCCCTGTACCCCTCGCGAAGGTGTGGGCGATCGGGGTCAGAGATACCCTGACCTACGCAATCCCACCCGAAAAAGCAAACAAAAAGAACGCGCATGCCCCCAAAAGGTTGGCACATGTCCAGAAAGCAACGAACGCCATACTTCCCATCATTGGTCATTACCACATCCAAACCCGTTAAACACTCTTTCCAGCAAATACGCAACCGCACCCAATACCACCTCCGTCCATTTAACAGACCCCCGACGCACAAGTGCTTTCCTTTTTGACCTCCTCGACTCACCCTCCGATCGAGTTGCCGGCGATGAAGAACGGTCCCCCGCCGACCCTCAGTGCAACGTCCCTCGCGCAGTCCGCCCACGAGTACTGGGAGAAGGACAGCGGAGGCTTCGCCGAGTGCCCGAAGCCCACGAGGTCAAGCGCCAGAAGCCTAACCCCTTCTAGCGCCGCCGCGGCATCACCGCCGAGGTCACCGCCGACATCGTCCGAAAGCGGCAACTTTCCATCAGCAGTGGCAGCAGCAGCAGCAGCAGCAGAAGAAGAAGAAGAAGAAAAAGGAGAGAGAGAGGGAGAAAACTGTTCGAAAACGCGGTCCCACTGGTCGGAAGAGGCCCCGAAGCCGTGGACCAGGAGGGCGGTGGGCGCGGCGGCGTCCCCGCTGCCGCCGAGGGCGTACCGCACCAGCCAGCCCTGCCAGCGGAGGTACCGTTGCTCCATCGCCTCTGGTAGGAGCAAATGGATTATTCGAGCGAAGCGATACAGGAGCAAATCTTGCCTGAGGAGACAGCGCAAATAGGTTCCATCCAGAAAAACGAGTCTGTACGGTCTGTTCGCTTATTCTAGGTTTTAGAGTACATGACTTGATTTTAGAGTACAGGGGTCAGCAGATGCACTTTTTTTTTTCGGAGCACACAGCGGATTGCAGCAGAGAACACACGCACTGCGGGCGACACCACACCGCAGACAACTCACGCACAGTAGACAGTGTACGCATAACAGGCGACACACACGCACAGCGGGCGACAGCATCTGGGCTCGATGCCACTGGACTCTCCGTGGTGTGATGAGGCTATCAATGTATCGTTGTCGCGCATGGTTTTTTTACTATCCCGTTCAACTGCCAGCAATGTGAGCACAGCACCACATTCGATCTTGAAACCTAGGGCGCCGATCGACATCGCACCACTTGGAGCATGTGCTCCATTGTGGTGTCTCTTGGCGTGATAGTTGTGTTGGGCATGGGTGCTATATGCGGCGAGAGCATCGTGGCGATGTGAAATCCGGTTTGGCTTTTTCGCCTGGCGATGCGGCCCGATTGCCCGAGCCAAAAAAACAATTTGGATTCCACGCCGCCACGAAGGTCTTCCCACACACAGCACCCGTGCCTAACACAACTGTCACGCCCCGAGATATCGCAATGGAGCACACGCTCGAAGTGGTGCCATGACGATTGGTGCGCGAGGTGACGAGAACTGACTTGTGTCCTGCTGTATCACCGAACAAAAAAAGGGCAACAGGGGGTTCAGCACTATTATGCGCGAGGTATGTATGACCACGAAAGCGGGATGTGGACGGGGGGTGAGGTATCCGGTAGGTGAAAGTTAACGTTACCACAGCTCCCACACCAGCGCACAGCCGGTAGGCGTAGTATCACGTGTGGTGTTTGCACTCTGTTTGCGCCCGTGGACGCACACGTCTGACGACAGCTACATCTACCAGCTGTCACTCGTGGTAGCAACAGCTAAATGGAGGGGGGGGGGTACTCATAGTCGTGCATGCCGTCGTCGTTAGATCATGAACCTCGCATCCCTACAAAGCCGGGACGGGGCACGCCGCGTTCTCACCGGACCAGGCTCTCGGAGTGGGGGCTTAATAACTCGTTGTTTGCCCAACGTATGTCTGAATCGCTGGTCGCGTGTCTCTGGAAGCATGCCGTTGGCCACTTCGGGCCAGGCTGTTACTTGCTGGCATTAGACAAATCATCCATGGATTCGCAAAAAGTGGTGAAGGAAAGGAAAATAGGCACTTTCGTGAACCGCTTGCGTATGACGACTGCGTGATTGTTATCCTCGACGGAAAGGGGTAGAAAAACCTGAGGCACGAGCTCTTGGAAAATGTAGAACGAGCAACGAAACCCCCCCAAGCCGCATTCTATCATTCATTACAACGTGGGTTTTTGCTGGCGAACCTCGAGACCTATTTCCCGGCGGACGGTTGTGGGTCCCTTACCCGCATTCCTGCAAACCCCATCACAACACACCATCACAACACGTGTCTTGTGTTATATTTGCTGTTTTTGTGAAAAAACGTGTGCCAAACACACAACAGATGCAACACGCTCACGTCCTCCTTGGTTGTTCCCGACAGTGATGTCCCTGTGCGCGAGCAGCGAGTGCCAAGACTCGATCACCGCCAGTTTCCTCGCCCAGCACTTGGAGGGCGCCCGCCGCTCTAGGAAGCTCATCCAGGGGGAGCTTCGCCCCTCAGCGGTGGCATCGGGTCGGGGAGATGCCGGCCTGTAGTCAGGCTGTCGTGCCAGGAACATTCTGTCACGGGCAAGGATAGAATGGAAGATATCGGTGAGAATTTCGACGAATTTGACTATAGAGACAGACGGAAACACAGACAGACACAGACGCACGCAGGGACAGGCACACTTAGACAGCAGACGAACACAGACACACAGACACACAGACAGACGGACAGACAGGTAGACCATCAGACAGACTGAAGAAGAAACAGGGCAGGAACAGACACAGGCAGCAGAGACAAGCGGCTTCTACCTCAAATGTAGTGTTACCGAAGCAACGAAAACAAACGACTTCAGTTTGGACGCCAGATGGCGGAGTTTTCTGCAGCAGAACCACCACGTCAAATGGGCGAGGGAAACACAACCCGCCTTCGCGGCGAGATGCAACCTAGAGCGATCGCCACGCCCAAGGCCCTCGCCAACGCCTCTCCAGGGGCCAGTCCGCCGTACCCCCTCGCCCTCACTATTCGCCGCGTGGTGACCGCCTCAAGCCCCGTCGGCTCTCCCCCACCCGCGGGTTCACCCTCTTCCGGCCCAAATACGCTCCTGAGTAGCGGGGGAAACCCGCGCAGCACGCGGTTTTAGGAGGGGCGCAGCGGGGGAAGAGACAAGGATGGCGGGAATGCGCAGCTTGTTGTGTGTCTACCAGCACGCCGCCGTGAGTTGCGAAGGACCCGGCTTGCCTCCTATCATTTGCAGCGACGCTATCGGGAAAAATAGAGTGCGTTGGACGTCTCATCTGCGAGTGGTACATAAAAGGGTGGGCCTGACTTGGCTCGTGGATGAATCTGGCTGCGTGTTGGCGTTTAATAACTCTGGCTTGTGTTGGTTCATGCGAGCGTCCCGCTACAGGCTGCAACATAGCACTCCATTTACGTGCAATGTTGTCATAGATCACGCCAAGAGCGAGCAGTGTATGCATTGCGTTGCTCATGTCGTGGGAAAGGGATAGACCACGCCCGGGCAGTAACCACCCGTACGGTCCTCAGCTCGTTTGACCTTCTTTTGAGTGGCAAAACCTCTCTCTCGGGCACCTGCGACTAGACGTACGCGAACTCCGACAGGTGCTACTACAACGCCCGACAAAAAAAACACCTCGCAAAGTCAACTTCGCCCATCGTCAGGTAGTCGTCGAGCATCGCCAGAGCTCGAGACTCCCCGTACCCCTCCACGCATAGATGCAGAGCGCCGAAGGGGGCCTCGGCTTGCGCTGCCGCGGACAGAGCTTCCTGGACTTGGGGGTTACGGCTGTCGAAGAGAACGAGTGGCAGGCCATAGGGCGCACAGTAGAATGAAGAGGGAAGTCGGGTAAGCGCGCGCGGGGGGGGGATCTTGGTAGCTTGCGGACGGGAATCGTACACCCAATCGGACACATGACAGCCTTCCAGCTCGACCCCGGACCCGCCTAGAGCGCACACAACCGCTTCACAACTACGGTGTTGACTACGGGCGGCACAGTCCGTGTGCAGGAGAACACGCACTGCCAAGGCTGGACATCATATTTTGTGTCTACTGGTATCCACCGACCTGCCAACCCGGGCGAGCACCTCCTCCATGCTCGGAAAGCTTCCAAGATCGATTCCGTCGGGGATCGGTGGTAGCGTCGAGGGCGCGGGGAACTCCGAACGTGCCGGTTCGTCTCCCTGGAGCCATTTTTTCTCGAAATCGCGGAAGTTCCAGGCCCCGTCTGAGTCGCACCCGTCGACGCCGGTGAGCTGTGAGGCCGACCAAGAGCGGACGTCGACGCCGGCGGCGGTAGCGAGCGGCCGTCGCTTGGCATCGCCGCCTCGGCCGTGCCGTCTCTCCGGAGCAAGAGCGGCTCGGACTCGCTCGTGTGACCGGCGCAACGCGTGCACAGGACTGAATTTTGTCGAAAAGCATGAAAAACAAAAAAGAGACGGCACGTTTACGTTTGTACTGAGTCTGGCTTGAAGGGGGCGGTGGTTTGAATCTCTCGTCGGGACAATGTTGATTGAAACAACCATACTTCAAGATGACGTACCCTTAGGATTAAAAAAACTTTGGTGTGTACGACAAGAGCACGTCCGCGATGGCGCTGCCCGCGGGCACCACGGATAAATTCCTCCACTGAGAAGCGCGCAAGACGCTGATGACAAAACCAAACAGTTCTGCGACACTCAAAGCCGTTAGCTTCTTGTTGGCAGCTGCGGTGCAAAGCAGAAGAAATGGGGAGGACGGCCAGTGCGGCCGTGTACCGCGTTTGTTGGCACAGCAAACCTCGAGTGGAAGAAAACGTGAGATGCCCCCGCCTGCTTGACCAAGCTCCCGACTTCTTCGGCGGCATCCCCTGACCGCACGACGAGGTCGCTGCCGATGCCTCGCAGGGTCTTTCTGAGGTCTTGCACCGCGTGGAATGCGAAGGCGGCGTCGAGACGGCTCTCTGCCGCTAGCTCCTGAGATTGTTGGCCGAAACGACGAAGAGAGATTTCACGGGAAGGGGGAAGAGACCATCAGTTCCTCGAGAGAAGAAAGCGAGACTGAAGTCGGTTGGCGTCGAGATGATTTTCCGCCGCTGGCTCCTGAGAGTGTTGGCCCAAACGAAAAAGGATATTTCCACATGGGCTTCAGTGATGGCCTCGAGCATTCCCGATGAACCATCAGCTGTCTACCAGGATGTACTCGTACTTCAATGATACCGAAAGGACACAATGTTGCTTACTGCTGTGGGCACACGCAATCCTCAGCGCCATACCATGAAAAAAAAATGGAAGATGTCCCACGTGTCCAGAACCGCCAATACTAATACAGCAGTAGCTACCTGTCGCTTCGGCAGCTCGATGTACTCTTCTCCCAACGAGAGCTTGCGAGTTAATTGACCTCGTGGTCTGAAGTAAAGCTCTCTGATGATGGTGCGTGTGCAACGAGGAGACCCGCCAACATCCCGAACCTCGCGCAAAACAAGGTGATTCGTGTCGACGTTACGCCGTCTCGATAATGGTAACTCGATTGTTCACAAAATCTTGGAAGAAAAAAAAACGGCAACGTGCATTGCCGGCTGCACACGCCAGCAATGCACGCCCCAGCACGCTTTGGTATGGGTTTGCGCCTACCTACCGTAGGGTGCACAAGACACAACAAACCCTACACCGAGTTTCAAAGTCCGAGTGCTCTGTGGCAAAAACAGTCACGGCGGTGCTGGAAATGGGAGTGTTGGAATCGTCTGGTCAAGAGCGTTCATTTTCCGGAATACATCATTTGACTGCTGTGGCATCTCCGTCGTGGAGTGTTCGAGCTTTGGAAAATCGGTCCAGGGGGGTGTAGTATTGTGGTATCTTGAGCAATGTTCGATGTGCGTAATCGTAGATGCTTGATGCCACCCTCCTTTCTCTAGGAATCTACGTACGATTCTACTAAGGCCATTGCCAATAAGTTAGCACGCACGGCTGTTAGACCCTGCGAAAATAGAACTGCTGTTCACGGAGTCTACGACACCGCGCGCTTGTGTGGAGGGACATCGGACCCGTATTGCTGCACGAAACGGCTGCTGTTATCCTTCAAGGTGCTTGAAAACTTCCCCGTAGGTATCGATATCTCAGCGACAGGATTGATGGGGGACCTTGCAAGCTAATTCTGTCGACAGGAGATGGTGGATCATGAAACTGCCGTCAAGCTGCACAGTACCGTTGTTCACTGCTGAGTGCCAAAAATAAGCAAAGCAGTACCAGGTAAATCAGTACAGCAGATTTGTTCCTGGATACCTCACCATCAACGTCGAGGGGTGCGCTACTGCTGTACGCAACTTGAAAGCTAGTCACACCTGATCATCGAAGACGTACACGGGCACAACCCCCGCCGCCCCGGCGGCGGCAACCAACGCGTCGTGGTCATGGGTCCGCAAGTCGCACGCGGTGAAGTACACCACGGCAACATCGTCAGAACCCAGCTGGGGGAGCTGCAGGACAGACACCCTCGGCAGTGGAGGTTCCGCCCAGAAGGCCGTCATGCTCACACCCGCACGCCCGTTGTTGCGGTGATTTCTCGGCTGGGTGAGCCAGGGGCTGCTGCTTTCTAGACGGGGTGCAGCGGAGCATCGCGAGGAGCGCGTCCCACCCATGCCGCTGGGGCTCATGCCGCCGCCGGTGATGATGCCGGTGCTTCGCGCACGCTGCGTCTCCTGGTGACGCAGCAAAGCTTTTGGATTCAGGTCAGTGCCGTGGACAAACGCCGACTGAGGCCTGGTGGCGGCATGGACGCACGTGAGGACACTCAGCAGAGACAGCGGAGCTGCCATGCCCATCGTGTTCTGCCTTTGTACTCACCTCTACCATGATCATGAGATCATGAGACAGCAGCCTGAGAATGCGGCGGAACTCGACAGGCAGGCACTGTCGTTCTCTCCCCCCCTTGGGTTTTCGCCGCTTTTCGTCGCTTTCGCTTCCAACAACACCACCGCGCGTTGATCGTGTTACCGCCCCCCATCCCGCTCCAGGTGGTCCCACCTCTGCTCGCACCCCGTAGTCGTCCTGCTCCCTGCATCACCGTACGCTACAAAAATCGGAAACAGAGAGGCATTACAATGTACTGCTGTAGTCTAGTCTACAGATCACGCGTGGAGCGATGTCTTTATGGTGCATTTAGATCTAGGCTAGCTACATCTAGACTAGACTAGATCTACATCTACCGAGACGAGACTTTATGCTGTACAATACCGACTGCTCTCAATCTTTGTGCGAGGACAAGTCTCGATCACAAGTGTATTAATTACAGCATCAAAACACACTCAATCAAGAACCTTGGCAGACGGGTAGTCTACCAATCGAAGGAAATGAGAAACGGAGGATGGACCTGAGCTGTACACATTCATACGGCCTAGCCCACCTGCATGTCCCTTTCTCAGCAGGCAGAAGAAAAAGTATCCCTGGTACAGCAGCAGTCGTACAAACGTCAATTCCGTTCATGTACCACACTTTTCGTCGCCACATAGTCTACAGTAGTTGCCACCGGATTTCGTGGGAATACTCTGCAGTTGTCACATCGCAATTGCATGATCACATGCACAGCGTATTGTAGTCTGTAGTCTATAGTATAGTGTACATGAGACATCTGCGCTACCCGTAGGTGGAGTAGGAGCAGCAGCCACGGACCTCTCGGGGCTCAGGGCAGCCAAGGCGCATGGATTTGGGGTGGCGGGCTGTGGGCTGAGGGGCCTGGATCCAACGGTTTTCAACACGGCGCTATACCTTTCCGCCCCTCCCGGTACAAACGCCTCCTTCAACTACTTTTGTCCCTCGAACCGCCTGATGCTGCTCTCTGGTCAGATCCGCTGCGGGGACACAACGGAGAGGAGCAGAGGGTACAAGCTGGGACCCATGCTGCACCGTGCCTAGTCTCTTCTGTCGAAAGGTGCTAGCTTCTTTGTGCGCGTTGTCCGCCGCCGCAGTCATCAGTCAGCAGTTCGTAGACGTTCAGAACGAAACCGGACGGGTCGACGGTTGTTTCGCAAGAGTATATTAATTTTCCGCTTTCTACATTCTACATAGCCTGATTATTTACATTATTTGACATTACTATGGACGTGTCCATGCACGTTCACGGACGTCCGTGGACACGTCGACGGACGTCCATCGACACCGGAAAGACGCCCGTGAACGTTGTCCGTGGACGCCCGTGGGACGTCCAATGAAGTGTCCGTGGACCAGTCCATGGACGTCCACCGACAAATGTCCGTCTACGTCCATGGACGGTGGTCCACGGACGCGTCCACCCACATCCGTGGACGGTCCATGATAACGTCCACAGACGTCCACGGACGAGATGCTTTATTGAAATATTGCTGCAACAAATTCGAAAATCCATATTGGATGTAGGTAGGTTTAGTTTTCTGTGCGTACCGTAGGCGACAGAATATGTCACACCCCCGGCCCCAATCTCCACCGCTAAAAAGTGCAACGGTGCTAACATGATGGTCAGTGTCGCATATGACACAAGATATCACCCCCCCGGCCCATGTAGCAACGATCGATGACGACGTACTGTAGTCCACAGCAGAGTGGGGTTGTCGGAATGGTGCCGTGAGGTTTTCCCAAAGCTATCACTTTGATCTATAGATACTAGGAGTATATCCTCTTCCGTCGCGAAATGACAAACAACTTTCTTAGCATGTTCACGATTGTTTGGGTGCGGTAGCTCGTCAGAGGCCGAAAGAGAAAGAAGGTTGACTCAAGACCTCGTTACTTAGAGAGTAAGAGACATGCAGTAGGCCACGCCATCGCCATGCAGCATGTCCGTCAATATATTCCATCCGCGTACCCCCCGGAGGCCCTGTAGACAGTATACTCTGCCGAGCACCCCAAACAGCCCCCCTGCTCGGTACGAGATACTATCTACGAAATCCCCGACACGACTATCATTGCCAGACAAACGGCAGACAGAAAAACCAAAACCTTTATGCTAACAATATATCATCCACCATTCCAATCCAAACGACTCTGCCAATAGAACATGCATGTCCCACGAAATCGCCGGATCTTCCAACAGAACACGTCCTGCAAAGCTTTCAAATCTTTTTGATGTCAAATTTCTACCCCTAAAAGGTCTGTCAAGAAAAACAAATCACCCTCTCGAGAAAAGTGCTCTACCCAATTCTCAAGCAGTCAAAACACGAACAATCACCCTTGGAAAAATACCCAGCAATAGATCAACATTACATCAGAATCACGTCAGAACGGGGAGGACGGGTAACTCCGGGAAAACGTGTCTTACGTCCTGGCTACTCAGAACAAATTCATTCCTCAGATAAATATTCATGTTTCAACTCAATGGCCAGTTCAAATTACAAGAACATGCCAAACCCTCTCTCCGACATCCAATACCTTGACAAAGAAACCACTCCACCAGCCCCCCTGCTGTAACATCCATTC